GGCAAGAGAGTACTCATGCAAAACCTGAGACCCTGGAAAAGACCAGTAGCATCTTCCCAAGAGACTTGAAGCTAACTGCCACCAGCCCACTGGTAAAAGAGCTGACAATATCTCAGCAGAGACCCAGGTCCCAACATATATCTCCTACCCATCCAGAGGGGAAAGACCTGACCCTAACTCTCTTGCTTAGGGTTTCATTGATGTGAAGAAACACCATGAATACAGCAATTCTTATTTTCATTTTTTAAAATTTTTATTATTATTATTAATTACACTTTATTCATTTTTTACACCCCATGAGACCCTCCCTCCTCCCCTCCTGATCCCACCCTTCCTCCCCTGTCTGCATGCATGCCCCTCCCCAAGTCCACTGATAGGGGAGGTCTGTTTCTCTGCCAGTACCATGCAGTTTTTATAACTGTTGCTCTATAGTACAGCTTGAGATCAGGGATGGAGATACCTCCAGAAGATCTTTTATTGTAGAGGATTGTTTTAGCAATTCTCGGTTTCTTGTTATTCCATACGAAGTTGAGAATTTTTCTTTCCAGGTCTGTAAAGAATTGTGTTGGCAATTTGATGGGAATTGCATTAAATCTGTAGATTGCTTTTGGTAAGATGGCCATTTTTACTATGTTAATCCTGCCAAGCCATGAGCATGGGAGATCTTTCCATCTTCTCATATCTTCCTCTAATTCTTTCTTCAGAGACTTGAAATTTTTTTCATACAAGTCTTTGACTTGCTTGGTTAGGGTTACACCAAGGTACTTTATGTCATTTGTGGATATTGTGAAGGGTGTTGTTTCTCTAATTTCTTTCTCAGTCCTTTTTGTCTTTTGTATACAAGAGTGCTACTGATTTTTTTTGAGTTAATTTTGTATCCGGCCACTTTGCTGAAGGTGTTTATCAGCTGTAAGATTTCCCTGGTAGAGTTTTTGGGGTCACTCATATATACTATCATATCATCTGCAAATAGTGATAATTTGACTTCTTCCTTTCCAATCTGTATCCCCTTGATCTCCTTCAACTGTCTTATTGCTCTAGCAAGGACTTCCAGCACTATGTTGAAGAGATATGGAGAGAGTGGGCAGCCTTGTCTTGTCCCTGATTTCAGTGGGATTGCTTTAAGTTTCTCTCCGTTCAGTTTGATGTTGGCTATAGGCTTGCTGTGTATCGCCTTTATTATGTTCAGATATGTGCCTTGTATCCCTGATCTCTCCAGTACTTTAAATATGAATGCATGTTGGATTTGTCAAATGCTTTTTCAGCATCTGGGGAGATTATCATGTGGTTTTTTTCTTTCAGTTTGTTAATATGGTGGATCACATTGATGGATTTCCATATATTGAACCACCCCTGCATACCTGGGATGAAGCCTACTTGGTCATAGTGGATAATATCTTTGATGTGTTCTTGGATCCAGTTTGCAAATATTTTGTTAATTATTTTTGCATCAATGTTCATAAGGGAGATTGGCCTGAAATTCTCTTTCTTTGTTGAGTCTTTGTGAGGTTTAGGTACCAAGGTGATTGTGGCTTCATAGAATGAGTTTGGTAATGTTCCTTCTGTTTCTATTTTGTGGAATAGTTTGAAGAGAATTGGAGTTAGCTCTTCTTTGAAGGTCTGGTAGAATTCTACGCTGAAGCCATCTGGTCCTGGGCTTTTTTTGGATGGGAGACTTTTGATGACTGCTTCTATTTCTTTGGGGGATATAGGACTATTTAATTGATTTACCTGGTCCTGATTCAGCTTTGGTGAGTCAAATCGATCAATAAAATTGTCCATTTCATTTAGATTTTCAAATTTTGTTGAGTATAGACTTTTGAAGTAAGTCCTAATGATTGTTTGGATTTCCTCAGTGTCTGTAGTTATGTCCCCCTTTTCACTTCTGATTTTGTTGATTTGGGTGGTAAGGGTTTGTCGATCTTGTTGATTTTCTCAAAGAACCAGCTCTTGGTTTCATTGATTCTTTGAATTGTTTTATTTATTTCTAATTGATTGATTTCAGCCCTGAGTTTGATTATTTCCAGCCATCTACTCCTTTTTGGTGTGTCTGCTTCTTCTTTTTCTGGGGTTTTTAAGTGGGCCATTAAGTTGCTTGAATGAGCTGTCTCGAATTTCTTCTTGAAGGCACTTAGTGCTATGAACTTTCCTCTTAGCACTGCTTTCATTGTGTCCCACAAGTTTGGGTATGTTGTGTCTTCATTTTCATTGAGTTCTAGAAAGGCTTTAATTTCTTTCTTTATTTCTTCCCTGACCAAGCTGTCATTTAGTAACAAGTTGTTCAGTTTCCATGTGTGTGTAGGCTTTTTGCTATTTCTGTTGTTGTTGAAGTCCAGTTTTATTCCATAGTGATCAGACAGGATACAAGGGATTATTTCAGTCTTCTTGTATCTGTTGAGGCTTGCTTTGTGACCAACTATATGGTCTATTTTGGAGAAGGTTCCATGAGGTGCTGAGAAGAAGGTAAATTCTTTTGTGTTTGGGTGTAAAGTTCTGTAAATGTCTGTGAGGTCCATTTAATTCATGACCTCTGTCAGAGATATTGTTTCTTTGTTTAATTTCTGTTTTGTTGACCTGTCCTTTGTTGAGAGTGGGGTGTTGAAGTCTCCCACTATTAATATGTGGGGATCTATATGTGGTTTAAATTTTATCAATGTTTCTTTTACAAGTGTGGGTGCTCTTGTATTTGGGGCATAGATGTTCAGGATTGTGATGTCTTCCTGGTGGAATTTTTTCTTGATGAGTATGAAGTGTCCTTCCTCATCTCTTTTTATTAATTTTGGTTGAAAGTTTATATTATCAGCTATTAGAATGGCTACTCCTGCTTGTTTCTTGGGTCCATTTGCTTGGAAAGTCGTCTTCCAACCTTTTACCCTCAGGTAATGTCTATCTTTGTGTCTTAGGTGTGTTTCTTGTATGGAACAGATTTCTGGGTTTTGTTTACGTATCCATTCTGTTAATCTGTGTCTTTTTACTGGAGAGTTGAGTCCATTGATGTTGAGAGAGATTAATGTCCAGTGGCTGTTAGATCCTTTGATATTGATGTTGGCTGTGTTCATAAGGTTGTGTGCTTGGTTGCTTTTTGTTTTGCTGTAGTAAGGTTAATTATTTCCTGTGTTTTCTTGACAGAAGATAATTTTCTTGGGTTGTATTTTCTCTTCCAGTGTCTTCTGTAATGCTGGATTTGTGTGTAGGTAATGTTGAAATTTGTTTTTGTCATTGAATATCTTGTTTTCTCCGTGTATGAGGACTGAGAGTTTTGCAGGGTGTAGTAGCCTGGGTTGACATCTGTTTTCTCTTAGGGTCTGCATGATATCTGTCCAGGCCCTTCTGGCTTTCATAGTTTCTGTTGAAAATTCAGGAGTGATTCTAATGGGTTTGCGGTTATATGTTACTTGGCCTTTTTCCCTTGCTGCTTTTAGTATTTTTTTTCATTGTTGTGTATACTTACTGTTTTGATTATTATGTGGCGGGAGGATTTTCTTTTCTGGTCAAATTTGTTGGGTGTTCTGTAGGCCTTATGTATCCTTATTGGCTTCCCCTTTAACTTGGGGAAATTTTCTTCAATGAATTTGTTGAAAATATTTTCTGGGCCTTGGAGAAGGGAGTCTTCTTTTTCTTCTATTCCTATTATTCTTAGGTTTTGTCTTTTCATATTGTCTTGGATTTCTTGGACGGTCTGTTTCAGGAATTTTTTGGATTTAACATTTTCTTTGACAGATACATCGATTTCTTCCATTGTATCTTCTACACCTGAGATTCTTTCTTCCATTTCTTGTATTCTGTTGGTTATGGTTACCTCTATAGTTCCTGTTTTCTTCCCTAAATTCTTCCTCTCCATTATTTCCTCCATTTGTGTTTTCTTTTATTTTTCTAGTTCTATCTTCAGGTCTTGAGTTGTTTTGTTTACTTCTTTCACCTGTCTGCTTGTATTTTCCTCTTTTTCTTTTAGTTCCTTCAACTCTTTGATTTCTTTCAGTGATTTAATTATTTCTTCTCTGAAGGCCACAAGCTGTTTGGCTGCCCCACTGCTGGGTTTCTTGTTATAAATTTAGTGTGCTGCTGCTCAGTAAATTTCCATGTACAGTCCTCTTGAAGAAACTGCTGATTCCCTAGCTGTGGGGTTTTCTCCCAACAGGAAACTCAGTCTGTTATCCTGGGGCGCACAGTTCTGTCCGGGAAAGTGGGAGGTGCACTCAGCAAGTCTCTGGGCCAGAGGCTGATTGCTCCGCTCTGGACCTGGAGAATGTGCACCTAGGTTGATTTGGTGCCTGGGAGCACTGCTCTGGTCTGGAGGCTGGGTGCCTCACTCTGGACCAGAAGCTGTGTGTCTCTGTCTGGGATGGCAGCTGCAGGCACTGCTCTGGTCCAGACGCTGTGGGTGCAGCCCTCTTGAAGGACCAGGGATTCCCACAGTTTTGACAGTCTAGCTAGGGATAACTGGTTGATCCTTGGCACAGTATCTGAGGGCTGCTGTAATGGCTCTCTGGCTTTTGTAGGTCTGAGGATGCAGCTGTGTGTCCCAGTGCCCTAGGGGAACTCAATAATGGCGGCAGAGCACAGCGCTCCTGCCTGCACTAGTGTCTGGGTGAGTCCAGGAAGTGTTTTGGTGCTGGGTGTCCTAAGCGTTAGAGATGCTGACCCCCTCTGCTGGGGGTTTCCTCCTGCCAGAGACACGCAGTCTGGTGCCCTGGTGCCCTGGTGCCCACAGTTCTATCTGAGGCGGCAAATCAGGCGCACAGGCAGGGCTCCGTGCAGGCGCCTGTGTCCTGGCTCTGGGTCTGGGCTGGCTCTTGTGGCACCCGCGGAACCCGAGTCTTTTCCAGGGGATGTCTGGGTAACCTGGGGTCGGTCCCAATTGTTTCCTGCTCCGTGGGGTTATCTCTCGACTAGGAAATCCAGTCTATGGTGTTGTGGGCCCACAGTTCAGTCTGGGACCTTGACCAGATCGCGCTGGCGTGTAGCTCTGGGCTGGCGACCAAGTGCCTGGCGGAACCGGGATGTCGTCCAAGGTTTATCCGGGTGAGTTAAAACTGATTGAATCCCCCACCGTGGGGTAGCCTCTCACCTGTGAAACACAATCACTTGTGTTTTATGGCCGCAAGTTCTAATTGCTGGTCACTGTGCCAATCCTGTTGTGCTGCTGCTCAGTATGATTTTGATGTTGGCTGTGGTCATCAGGTTGTGTGCTTGGTTGCTTTTTGTTTTGCTGTTGTAAAGTTAATTATTTCCTGTGTTTTCTTGAAAGAAGCTAATTTTTTGGGGTTGTATTTTCTCTTCCAGTGTCTTCTGCAGTGCTGCATTTGTGTGTAGGTATTGTTGAAATTTGTTTTTGTCATTGAATATCTTGTTTTCTCCGTGTATGAGGACTGAGAGTTTTGCAGGGCATTATAGCCTGGGCTGACATCTGTTTTCTCTTAGGGTCTGCATGATGTCCGTCCAGGCCCTTCTGGCTTTCATAGTTTCTGTTGAAAAGTCAGGTGTGATTCTAATTGGTTTGCCATTATATGTTACTTGGCCTTTTTCCCTTGCAGTTTTTAGTATTTTTTTCATTGTTGTGTATACTTACTGTTTTGATTATTATCAATGATTTTGTTGAAAATATTTTCTGGGCCTTGGAGAAGGGGTTCTTCTTTTTCCTCTATACTTATTATTCGTAGGTTTTGTCTTTTCATATTGTCTTGGATTTCTTGGACGGTCTGTTTCAGTAATTTTTTGGATTTAACATTTTCTTTGACAGATACATCGATTTCTTCCGTTGTATCTTCTACACTCGAGATTCTTTCTTCCATCTCTTGTAGTCTGTTGGTTATGCTTACCTCTGTAGTTCCTGCTTTCTTCTCTATATTCTTCTCTCCATTATTCCCTCTATTTGTGTTTTCTCTAATTTTTCCAGTTCTATCTTCAGGTCTTGAGTTGTTTTGTTTACTTCCTTCACCTGTCTGATTGTATTTTTCTGTTTTTCTTTTAGTTCCTTCAACTCTGTTTCTTTTATTTCATTCAGTGCTTTAAGCATTTCCTTTCTAAAGGCCATAAACTGTTTGGCTGCAGCTTCCTCTATTTCTTTATGGATGGCAATATTCTGTTTGAGTTTATCTTCCTCTATGTCTTTACGTATCTTATTTGTTTCCTCTGTTATCATTTTCATGAGCATAGTTGTTAGGTCATCTTCTTGGATTTCAGTTATGCTGGGATGTCCAGGGCTACTCCCTTCCCTGGGTAACTGGGTTCTGGAGATGCCATATTGCTCTTTCTTTTGTTGCTTGAGCTTTTACGCTGGCCTCTACCCATTGTGCTATCTTAGGTGTTTGGTGTTATTTTCTGGTGGTTCCTGGGGATCCTGTGGTGGAGAGAATCCCCTTAGTAGAAAGCTGGTTTTTCCTGAAGGAAGTCTTCTCATCTTTTTGGGTTTAGTCCCTGTATGGCTGGAATTTTTTCACGAGTTGCTGCTGCTCACCTCAGGGATAGAGATCTGAGTGGTAACAGTAGTCTTTGTTAGTCGAGAGGGTTCTCCTCTCACCCAGGGAAGTCCTGAAGACAGCTGCCCTGTTTCTGGGTTTCTTGCTGTAAATCAGCTGCTGTGACCCAGTTGATCATCTGGCGTGCAGCAACTGTTTGTGCCTGTGTCTGGAGCACAGCTGAGTGATGGCGGCTCAGCCCTGCCTGTCTGCGAGACTTTTTCCAGGGAAGGCTTGGATGATTTAAGTCAGTACAGTTTCCTTCCTTCTTTGTGGATTCTCTGGAGACAGGGACTCTCAGTCTCTTTTTTGCCCTGGGGCGCACCACTGAGTCTCCCAGATAGCTTGCGTGCAGAAACTGCCTGTGTCTGCCTTTCCGGCCTTTGGGAGCCTGGGTATCTGCCTAAACTGGGTAATTTTCCTGAGACCTTTTCGGGGTGGGGGTGTTGGCTGAGTGCTCTGAGATCAGACCAGCCGTTTCCCTCCCTGTGTGTTTGCATCAGACAGTGAAACACAGTCTCTGGTGCCCTGGGGCCCACAGTTCTATCTGAGGCAGTGAATCAGGCGGGCAGGCAGGGCTCTGTGCAGGTGCCTGGGTCCCTGGGTCTGGCTCTGGCCTGGCTCCTGGGGCACCCGTGGAACCTGAGTCTTTTCCAGGGGATTTCTGGGTGACCTATGGCCGGTCCTAATTGTTTCCTGCACAGTGGGGTTATCTCTCGACTGAAAATCCCAGTCTCTGATAGTGTGGTGTACATGGTTCAGTCTGGGACCGTGACCAGAGATACTGGCGTGTGGCTCTGGGCTGGTGGCCAAGCGTCTGGCGGAACTGGGATCTCTTCCACAGTTTACCCGGGTGAGTTAAAAGCTGATTGAATCCCCTACCGTGGGGTATCCTCTCACCTGGGAAACACAATCGCCTGTGTTTTATGGCCGCGAGTTCTGATTGCTGGTCACTGTGCCGATCCTGCTGTGCTGCTGGTCAGAATGAGAGTCGTCCTGGCGTCCCTATCTTGCCCCGCCTCAACACCATGACCACAGCAATTCTTATAAGGAAACATTTAATTCTGGCTAGCTTACAGTTCAGAGGTTTAGTCCGTTATCATCATGATGGGAAACATGGCAGTGTGCAGGCAGACATGGTGCTGAAGAAGTACCTGAGGGTTCTACACCCTGATTGACAGACAGACAGCAGGAAAAGAGTGAGACACTGGGCATGGCTTTAGCATCTGAGACCTCAAAGCCCACCTTCAGTGACACACTTCCTCCAACAAAACCATATCTACTCCAACAAGCCCACATTTCCTAATAGTGCCACTCCCTATGAGCCTATGGGGATCATTTTTATTTAAACTACCACAATGACTATTGCTCCTGCCCATGAGAATGACCCCAACCCACATTACTGCCCTAGGCTTCCCTGGCACCAGGGCCTAGAATCCTTCTATATTCTCTATCATTGACAAGGTTTACCATTTGCTTAATCACTGCCATTAAGAATTGGTCAGGATTGCTGTTTTTTTCCTGAACCCTCTACACTATTAATGTATAGGTCTAGGGATGAACAAGACTATTGGTCTGCCAGCAAGTTAAAACAATTATAACTCAGAACAGCCTAAGCTAACATTGGGAGACCTGCAGGGAGGTGGAACCTGCCTGGTCTCCAAGACATTGTCTTAGGTTATTTCGATGTTTGCTATTCCATGCTCCAGATCAACTTTATTTTTTTTTAAGATTTATTTATTTATTATTTATACAGCATTCTCCCTGTGCACCAGAGGATGTGCCCAGATGGTTATGAACCACCATGTGGTTGATGGTAATCGAACTCAGGACCTTTTGAAGAACAACCAGTGTTCTTAAACTATGACCCATCTCAGCCCTCCAGGTCAGCTCTTATCATCAGAAATGAGTTAAGACTCCCTGAAACCATTTAGTAGGCATGACTCCTCCAAGGCATTCCAAAACAATAAGTCTTTTTTTTTTTTAATGTGACCTACTGGAAATACTGTCCCAGGTGTATTTATATAATGGGGAAGAAGGAAGAGCTCACTTTAACAGGGAGCCCAGGCTGCAACTGGAAAAGCAAGCCACAGCCATCCTTATTCCACTCCTGACTGGAGCCAGTATTGCCAGGGCAACAGCTATAAGAACATTGGCACTATGGCTGTTAAGAGAAGACAGTCAGGAGAATACACACAGAGTAATGAATAAGAGAAAAACCCCATACATCCACAAGCTATTCGTACTTATGACCAACTGTGTGCCCCTAGACTGGGATGAGTCAACAGTTTGACTAATGCCCATATAAATAGTCGGGAATGTGACAGGGCAGAGGTTCCTCCATCTTGTGTTTCTTGCAGAGCCTATTCCAGAGTTAACTAGAATCTGATCTCTTTGATGGAGAATCCAATAGAGAATTATCCAACTTTGTTCTAGGAACTAAAGGTCAGGATGTCCTAGATAACCTATCTTCGTTTTGGTTAAAACTGCTTGTTTTCCTGAAGCCTCCTTCAGTTATCTGTTTATCTTTAACTGTCTATTTGGAGCCCACTCCAGAAAACCACTTATCTTAGCTTCTGTTAAAAAACTGCTTGCTAGAGGAGGGGCCAAGATGGTGGCACCGGGAGAACACGGTGTCTGAGAAGCGGGACAACACACTCCGTGCAGCGACCAGGAGACTGAACTCTGGGCCCTAAAACAACAGCAATCGATCGTGTTTCCCAGGTGAGGGGACGCTCCCACGGCGTGGGAATTGGTCGGGTTCACTCTCGGCTGCCCAGCCAGAACCTGGAAGAGAACCCGGCTAATGTGGGCTTTGGGTATCCGGGCTGGTGCCACAAACCTGCGTGTCCCAATCACTTTCCCAGGCTGATTGGTGGGCACAAGGGTGCCTGAGGCTGAGAGTCCCAGTCCCAAAAAAAACCCCACGGGGAAGGAAAGTTGCCAGATTGGTCACGGGTCACCCACTCTTTCCCTGGAAGGTCTCTCCGACAATGGGTACCTGCCGCCATCACAATTGAGCTCCCGCCGTGCACGGATTGCAGCTGCGCACCCAACTCAAAATCCCTACTCCCTCTTCGGAGGAGGCAGGTGGCGTCCAGCAGAAGCTGCCACAGACAACATTGTCTGTAACCCAACCCGAGATCGGGGCTGAGAAAACCCAAACCTTTCGGGCACTCCCCCAAAGGCCGCCATCACCCTGCCGCAGCGGAGCAGAAGGATAAAGAGGCGCACAGCGGCTTCACAGTGCCAGAACTCCAGTGCTGCCGGCCGCTCCTAGCAAACAAATTACAGCTTGGGATCTGGGACTGTGGTCATTCTACACGTCCTGAGATTATCCTGGGTCCAGCACAATAAGGTCTAGCAGCAAGTTTTATCACTGGCGCCCCCCCCCCCGGACCCCTGGCAGAGAAACGCCGGCTCAGGGCTCAGGATCCGACTGAGAAGACCCAACCCCTGCTGGCACTCCCCTGAGAGCACCTCCATAAGCTTGCCCTAGCAGAGGAGAAGGTCAGAGGGGAAGGACAGAGAGGCAGCCTGCCAAGGACACAGCACCTTCTCTCC